TTTTTTTCGTGGTTTTTGTATTAGACCCGTCGTCCATTTATTTGTAAGTCAATTAGTAAATCGCTTAAATTTTAAACTAAGTAAGTTCTATTTTGTTTGTTGTAAATATTGGACACTACATTACATACACTTATCACTTTATATATGTATCAAAATCATTATTTAAGTATTCTATACATATAACTGAACACACACTACATTATAGAAATATCTATGTAATTTATTTAAGTTTACTCGTATATTCGCGACACACACGTCCGGTACTCACTCGGTTTTAGGGCCCACTGAAAATCAGCGTCACAGCCTTTTCTCGGTGGTGGCAATAGCTGAGTGGGATCCTGTTACATACGCCACAGCCGCGCACATGACACTTAATCTAATTGTGTTAAATATTTCATGTTTGCTTTGTTGTTGTGTAAGATTTTATTTTTGTTCCTTTTTTTCAGTTATTTTTATTTTAATCTTTTGTTTTAATGTAGCTTCATCTTTTTTTTATCTTCATTTTATTACTGTGTATATTTTTGTTGTGGCGTAGTAATAAAATATTTCTATTCTATTCTAAATAAAACTACACTTATTTAGTGAAGGATTTGTTTTTATTAATTTATAAGTAATACAAATACGAAATAATATTCTCTTAAACGTAAATGCAACTTAAATACCATGTGACAAGGAATATTTTTCAATAAAACTTACTCGAGACGCATACAATGACATATTTTTAATATTAAAACCATTTAACGGTCAAGTTAAACGTAATGAAACCTGCAAGCCGGAGACTGCGTAAATTAACCTCTCGGTTAAAGGTGACACGTACCTAGAAGCGATCGCATTGCTCTTCTTGTGGCCCAAACCCTATAGTTTCGAAACCAGTGTCCAGCAGTGTGGCTTAACACAGCAATGTAACAGATGTCATATGGAATGGGAAATATTTAATTGAATAATTACAACCTCTTTAGGACAGGTCTATGTCCAGCAGTGGACGTCTTTCGGCTAAATGACGACGATGTTGACCTCTTGGTAATTTTTTTGTAATTATTAAAAATATCAATCTGTATAAAGTCGAAACAGTTGCAGAAAGCTGTTCTCAAAGTTTTTAATACATTTATTATTTTCTTCGGCCGAGTGGCAAAACAATGAACAACCCCTGAGAAAGTCTCGCAGAAAGGCGAGGCACGTGTCGGGTATATTTTTAATGGTGGTATTTGTGAACAAAGTCAAAGTCAAAGTCAAAGATTATTTATTCCATAGGTAAAATAAATTTACACTTGAAATCGTCGCATTTAAGCTACTGCTCGTTCACTATGCCGAGCTCCCTGAGAAGAACGAGCAAGAAACTCTAGGGATTGCTCTTTTCAAATAAACTTAAATGCTATGGAGTACACTTTGAATCAAATTTGTGTGGATTCTGGAGCCGTGTCGTCTTTCCATACATCTTTATCTAACACGTTGGGCTTTAACACAGACGAAGCTATTTTGTACGATTTAACCTCCACCGGGTTCGCGGTGTAGCAAATTAAGAGTCTATATTGCCTCAGCTCGAATTGATTTTTTTCCCGCACTAATAAGGTTTATTTTGCTTGGGTCGAGCGGATTTTTTTTTTTTATTTATTCATTTATTTTAATTACCTATTGAATTCAGGGATTTTCTTGTAAAATTTCGGGGTAAGTTTGTGTTTTTTCTTTCATGAAAACTTTTACGTTGTATTTTCACACCATATGCCAATCAGTGTATATCCTAATTTTACTATATATTTTTTCCAAAGTGGTAGATTCAACACTTTCACTGTTATGCGGATTCAATTTTGATTGTGGTTGTATAGTCTCTTAATTAATCAATGTAACGATGTCAAGTGTACTGCTTACCTGTGAAATAAATCTATAATCAGAATTTGATTACATTTTCCGTTGATTTAAGAGGTCGTCATACCAAAAGTTGATTATTATATTTTATAACGCATTTGACCTCCATCTCACCTGATGGAAAATGGACTCTCGCCTTAAAAATGCCCAAGTTATACCATTCAGGGAACAAATCTGCAAAAAAGGCAGGGAATTCCACTCCATAGCCATTTGCCGTATAAATAAATATGGAAGCGTAACGCTTCGTGCGAATCCTTGAAGGGGTAGATTCGTCCCCTTAAGGGTCACCCAGGCTAGAAAAATTTGGGCAAACAGTCTCCGACATCCAGGTGTCATGTCGCTGTTCTTCTTTACAGTTAAAGCTAGCAATGATTACGAAAGTTTAAATTTAGCATTTAATTTTCCAAACTTAAACAAAAAGAAAACAAAGATGTTATTTTTAAAACAATTTTGGTCCAAAAAAATGTTCTTTTACAATTTTTTTTTTATTTAATACAAGATTTATTCGTATCGTACTGTAAAACGAATGTTCTAAAATAAAAACAATACAATACAAATGGAAATACGAGACAAAATGCAAACAACTTCATTAACAAAATTAATCTTTTACTTTTTTTTAAATGGTAAAAATTATAAAATGATAAAATTGAAGATTCCATGATTTCGTTTTTCTTCTAAAAGGCACCTGAAAAAAAAAATTCCAGATCACTTCCAGGAAACAACTAGCTTATAAAAGTCTATAGTTTCTACCTACACCAGTGAGAAATAAGTACGTAAAAAGGCCAGATCAAAAGTATAAAAAACGAATGAGCGTGTATAGCAAACACTGATGCGAGTGAAGGAAGCATAAGAAGTATGCCATGAATGTAGCACGTGTAGGCCCCTTATCACTGCCTACTCCATTAGGACACGAGATATGCATGTTATGTTTGATGTCGGACTACGGTATCCGTTGCATCTGAAATAAAGTAAATTTCCCATCTGATCAAAGTACAATAGTAGTATCAAAAGGGCTCCTTGTGAGAGTTCGTCCAGGGAAGTATTTCTGCCGCCAAGCTGTAAGTCAACTTATGTCACAGGGTGACGGTCGCAGTGGCAGCGCCCCTCAGATCTATGCGATTTTAATCTCTGAGTGGCACCGCAACTGAATGGACAGGGGTGTCGCTTACCGCCAGGTGAATGACTCGTCCGTCTCGTTTTTTGGTATGGTAAAAACTTTGAGCGCCATTGACGTGATCGGTTGCCACGATTAGAATCCGGTATCCGCTGCTACTAATTACTAAGAACTTTGTCAGATTGTACAAAAAGACAAAAAAGCACGTCAACCCCAACACTTATGCAAATTCAACTCCATGCTACAGCAGTCACCCGACATGGTAAAGTCAAATACTCTTCCTACATTCAGGCACGTCTTGGCCAGAAAAGCAATTTTATTCATTAGCTCATTAATTTCTGCCCATCGAGTATATAAACAGAAATAGAGACAAAATGTCATTGAATTTGTTTAAAAACTATTCTACCAAATCATTACGGTGACAACTGCGCTCCGATTGGCTAGCCCGAATTCGAAACAATTGACGGGTGTCGTCAACTGTCTCACTTCAAATCGACCAATTTAACTTGAGCTTTGTTATAATGGACGAAAACGGAAAAATTACATATTTAATATTTCATTACCGATGAATTGTGATTCCGTTTGTTTTGTAATTAGGTGTTTTGCTGTTTTTCCCACACCACCGAATGGGACAGCCCCCAATGTAAGAGATATTATCTTTATTACAAAAAATACAGAATATTTTTGGGAATATACGGAGACGTACACACAAGTCAGTTCATGGCGCTGTACTGTTTCAGTTTTCTAATTTGTGATTTCAGCGCAAACGAGAGTTGATATATAAAAATGATATAAGGCCCATTTACCTGATGACTTGACAGGGATGGATGGCCGTTATTTCGTCTCTGTTTCTGGTTATATACTCGATGTTTCTGCCTTACACAGCCGTGCTTCAATGTCTAAGTTGTTGACATTGATAGTTATGTGTCACATTTAACTATTTTATTCTAAATTCTGTACTTAACTTGTTGACATTTTGAATTCTATTATATTTTAATGTGAGTTTTATTAAAGAATTGTAATTATAAAACATTGTATAAATGTTGTACTCAAACTACATGTAACATCTTTACCAGTTCAAACAATAAATCATCCTGATTCTCATACCACACAGTCGTAGAGCTCACTGAGAAAGATTTCATGTCATACTGCCACCATACCAATTTCTGCTGCCAAGCAGTAAATTAGCATTACTGCGTTCCGGTTTCGAAGGGTGAGGGTACTGGTGAAAGTACAGATTGGATTTATCAACTTTGTCTCAAGCTGACGGGCGCAGTGGAAATGAGTCTCAGGTTTTTATGATTAAAACCCCTGAGTGGCAACTGCTACAAGTAGACATGTCACTTACCACCAGATGCACACAACAACCAATAGTCATCATTTTTAGTAAACTTGCTCAATTTGATTGCGTTACCATGGACCTTCAGCCGCTACGTTCCTGCCATTATCTTCTTTGAACTTTTAACCTGGCCCTTTTTAAGGTCAACCTCAATCCAACTGAGACATGTACAGCGAGGTCGACCTTTACCCACAATCCCAACATAATGTATCTAATTTAATTTATTTTTATTTTTAACAAAATGCCATTACTTTCAATTCTTAGATCAAGTAGGGCTTTATTACAATGAGGGTGTGCGTCAATTCCCGCGAACGAACACTAAAATTGTCATAAATAATATTGTATTTGTTTTCATTGCTATCAGTAAGAAAAGGACAGAATACTGATTTCAGTTTTTAGAACTTTGAAATTTTTACATATAATCATTCAACATGATACCTATTGCCGTCTTATAGCAATTACACACGCGCTAGTTTAAGCAGCGAAGCAAACTCGTTTTAAATTAATTAACTAATTTATTTAATGCATTTAGTAATTTCACTTTAAAATTTATAATTAACAAAACATAATAATGTGCATAAACCTATACCGATTTGTCGTACATAATTATTAGTGTTGGGTAGAACATGAAATTAAAATGAGATTGAGGGAGTATCTCATTTGAAAAAATGAGGCGGTGCAATGTCATACTTCAAATGAGGTGAGGTAATGGTAAGAATATTTCCAACTACGACAATGACTCAACAGACAGGGAATATTTAGCACATTTTCATAACTTGATGGTATGAATAAATTTGATAACTTAAGTGTTATGATATAGAATAAAGAAATGCTCATTTTATTTAGTAATGTGGTACTATGATCATATCGCACTGCTATTACAATAATGTTGTAACTCAAAATATGTGAAATTCAAGGTTATGTCATTGCTGAATGCAAAATTCGATTGTCTACACGTCAATAAAACCGTCGTTAGAATACAAATAAAAAGATATAGAACTTTATATGAGCTACTTCTGGCCAAAACAGTCCTTACGCAAAAATATTAAGTAATTTTTCCTTTTTATTTTTCGATATATTTGGCAAGTAAGAAATTGTTCATCTGTGATAAACTTGTGAAACTTTGTGATAAATTTTAACGATCTTTCACAGGAAGTGAGTAATTAGTTTTTCATCGATTCTGGAAGAAAATCAGCTGAAAAGCGGACAGTGCATGACCAATCATTATTGCAATTGTTGAATTCGTAACCGTGTGACATGGGTGAGGCTATGACATGAGTTGTGAGGTGGGACATTTTTATGACATGAGGTGTTGTGACAACTTACCAAGCGAGTGGTACAAACGAGTTGCCTCGTGTATGAATAACTCAACACTAATAATTATTCAACATAAGCGACTGTATCGATGCAGTCGCGCGTTTGTATCAATGCACCTTCGGGAAATAGCTGAACGGAGTAAAATAGTTTAATCCTTCCACTAGGAAAGAGTTTCACTCAAAAGAGGTATTTGCCTTCCACAGCCAGCGGGCTAAACGGAGTGAGCTACGCGGGAAATGAGTCAGATAAGCGAGTTTTTGAGTGAAACTTATAGTCTTAAAGTATCACAAATCGCTTTCTTTCTGAGCACGTTACGTAGCTGTGTGACGGTGTGACCTCCTTACATTGTCATCTCTCTCCGCGTGTATCCTATCATTTTTTCTTTTACTTGTATTTAAGTTTGAATTGTTCCATCTTCCTTCGCTTTCTCATTTTGTTTTCGTACCACGGTCACTCCCTGCTCGACCGCCACAACAGTCGGAGCTGTGTCAAATTCCATCGCGAATAATCGCTAATTTCGGTCCTTTACTACATTTATAATCGTCATTAAATAAGCTAAATCATGTGTAATAAGCTATAACAGTCTACAGCGTTCATGTACTAAGATTACGTATCTGAAATTCAGTTACTCGGCCCTTTTAAGGGTACACGGTAAAAACAGATTACTTAGAAAAAGACAAAATTCTTTATATGAAGACAAATTTATTAAATCCAACAAAACGATCCTCTCCCTATAGACGCTAGAGAATAATTACTTGATAATAGTAAAAAAACGTCTCAAAAGTGTATTTTAGTTACAAGACAGAAATATTTAATCCAAGAGCAAATTAATTTACTTCAAGTCACAAAGCCACTCTAGATTCAACAAAATATTTGTTTGTTATTAGAAATGTCCGATTTTGATTTGAAAAAAAAAAAGAATGAAAATTTGAGAGGTACTTAATTATTTGACTGAAGATTTATGTATTCTAATATCAAAAAGGGTAAATTTATAGGGTTACGGGCCCAACAGTATGTCTCACTGGCGTGAAAGCACACCAGTTCAGTGCCAAACCATACTTGAAGACCTTTCAGTGCCGTATAAATGCTACAGCGGCAGAAAGCACTATTCAGAATATATGAGATGACTTTATACTATTGAAGTTAACAAAACGATAGCGCGTTTCAGAGTACAACTAATGCCATCTAGCAGTGGCGTGATGGAACTAATTGCATGTTAAAGTTGTGCTTGTTACAAATGTAGTTTGATTTCATGCTGTAACCAAATTTCTTAAAATATGACTATAAATAACACCCTAACAAACTAAAGACACTACGTATTGTTTCTTTGGATAAATAACTGTTTATGATTTTTATGATTACAAGCACAAATAAAAGTAAACGTTACCGTGTGCGGCTTCGGAGACATGTCACGACATCATTGACTATGAAAACGCAAGGAAATGTTGCTTTAAGAATATACTCTAGAATTTAGAATATTAATCTGAATAGAAAACTACTTCTTTTTATGATTAAGAATATATTTTCTTAAAATACACCCAAGAAATTTTGAATTAATTTAAGATTATTTAAATTTGATGTAAGAGGTAAAAATTTCTTGATGTAAGTAATGTCCAATCAATTGATAAGAAATGAAATAACATCTTGAAGTGAACGTATTTGTCTCAAAGTTAGAATAAAGTTAAGAGTAAAATTATATTAGAAAAAGATAAGCAGTATCTTTGTAATGACAATATTTTATTATTTTTAACAAATATTTTTTCAGAATTAGCAAATATTTTGAGAAATTGCTTTCTTATTAGTAGAAATCATTTTTTTCTGTGTAGCCTTTCGTTTTACTTTACTTCTTTTAATAAATTTTGTGAACCGGAAGTTTCCCGTTTCATTGCCGTGAACCTGGTCACGGCTAGTAAGGGTTACAACCCTTTCAGCTGTGTATTGCCTTTGTGGAGTCCGCTCAAAACTAGCGCGCAACACAATGCCACCGCGGACCCATGATAACTCGCCGAGTCCATTTCACTCACTCGTTAGCGGTAGAAGCATTTCTAGGAAATTTACAGTTGCAAGTTAAACGGAGTCCGTACGAATCCCGCTCCGCTCGTGTAGTGTGTAACCATTCTTAGAGGCAATTTCTTCCACTTAGACGTCACTAATATGTTGTAGATCAATTTCCCTATTGTACAAAGGTTTAGAGGTAATTAACTAAAAGGTCACTTGTTTAACCGGTGAAATAGAGTATTTAGTATTGAGTTTAATAAGAATCTGTATTTTTATCAACTCCAATGTTATTTTATTCCCTTTTGATGGCGACGATAAACAAACGCATTAATTGAGTTTTTTAATCCTATATTTTTACTGGCAACTTACTGGGGATTTTTTTATCCCATTTGTCACCAGCATATATGTACATATGTTCAATTTCGTCATGAAATAAAAAAAAAATTGTAAATTAAATATTGTGTCCATTTCTATTTCACTAAAATTAAAACTAAGTTTTCGTTCGTTCGAATTGACACCCATTTTTAATACTACAATAAACAAAACTACCTATATTTTTGCAGCTGCTACGAAGCTCACTTACTCAGTAGTATCCTGTAGAAGCAGAAAAATAATTAAATGATAAAATAATAATAATAAATATGCCCAAGGCACTACACCAACTACCTCTCGTTAGATGGGACCTGTACCCAGAAAGGCTACCACGATAGGGTGCTACTTAGAGAGCGACATAAAGTGCGATATACTGCTATGTTCGCGACATACTGCTATATAAAAAAACAACTATGTCGCGCAAGTCGCGCCCTATCATGCTAGCCCTACAGAAGTGGGACGATGAATTAAAACCTGTCCCGTAATTTGTAAATTGAAACCCATTCATAAAATTTAAAACTCGAAACCCAGGCAGTAAATTCATATACATATATGAAGTTTAAACTGGCTTTAAATTTAGAGAGCGAAGGTCTTGCATTGCCACCGTGAATTTCAGTGTTCATATCAATATGGTTATTAGTTCTATTTGCCACCGCTAGGGGCGCTTTACAATTGCTTACAAACACTGAAACTCAAAGTAGAGCCGCCCAAATCGAAAGCTAGTCTTGAATTGAAACCGAAATGACATAATACATTGCCGGAAATCGATGCATGGGTTTCAAACTCAGAACGGGTTTAAAAATATTGAAATAAATGACAAACAGTATTTGGAAAACGGCTTTTGACAATTCAAACTGAAAATCAGACAGGCGTTCAAATTGCACGGTTAGGAGACAAGTCTTCGTCCAGAGTACTGTAATGAAGCAATGAAATTCAATTTAATTCAATGAAAGGTCGAAATTGTACAGTCAACCACACAGATCACTTAAGAATAGTATCACATAATTAGAATTTTTTTATAAAAAAAAAACCGACGTCAAAAGTTCGTGTCGGTTCCCGAATTGACGGTAATCGGTTACCGAAAAGTGCGCGAAACCGAATTCATCCCCTAGTTTACCACCCTTAGAGGTGGAATGTTTTCTTCAACTTTAAATGAGACCAGTAGTGAGGTACGCTCTTTCCAACAAATACAAGAATCATCAAAATCGAGTAATCACGTAAAACATGCACACACAAAATAAGCTCATTTTTTGAAGTCGGTTAAAAAGAAATAATATAAGTGATCCATCAGCGACAATTGATGAAGCCAATTTAATAAATATACAACTTTTTAGGAGATGATTTTATCCACCAACATGGACAGCTTTGGATAATAATTTATTTGTCATCATGGATAGAAACACTCCCTTTATATCATTGATTTACAAATAAATGGACGACGGGTCTCATACAAAAACCACGAAAAAAATATCCCAAGTCAACCTATTCGAAATTTAAATTGTAATGTCATCGCAGTATCGCGCTGTCAGTCGAACAAATGAAGACTAAAGCGGAGTTTGGCGCTCTGTATACGATTTTAACGCCTTACAAGTTCGGACACTTTTTAGCGCGGACCCGACGTTCATATAATTGTAAGTCAATGCTTTATATAGTCAGATTTTCGAATTAGATATATTAAACTGACATTTAGTGAGTTGTCACTTTGTGATGATTAACTTAGTCTTAAATAATCTACTTCACTGACTCACTCATAAAGATAAATTATATATTATTTTAATAATTAGCATGTATTAATTAAAATTGAGGTAAGAAAGAGGAACACCGGGGAAGAGGGACTTAAAAGTCTTTATTCATAATCTAAATAGTTTAGCACTATAGTCTCTCAATCGATAAAACAGACAAATTAGTTTAAACTATTTCAAAGAGATGTCGCTACGATGTTCCAAATCCAAAAGGTGGTAAAAACAAATTTGATAGTTGCAAAATGTTGTTCCATTTACCTCTTTTGGTGGGGTAATTAGTTCGTCCAGAGAAGTACTGCTACCTTACCTATTTCTGCCGCCAAGCAGTAACGTAAGCATTACTGCGTTTCTTATTTACTTATTTACTGCGTGACTTATTCGTCTCTCATTTGGTATTATAAAAAAATAATAAACATGGCTATATTTTTTTCAAAGTGACATTAGCAGCTGTCAGTTTGGTATCTCTAATTAAAAATCCGACAATAAACTGTTGCGAAAAAATTACAAATCATACAACCAAGCATTTTTGTTAGTATTGTTAACGAGGTAAGAAAAATAGAACAAGCAAAAAACTGACAAGATTAATTGTTGACTATAAAAATGGAGGCGCTGTTAACTTTAGGAACTAGTTCTTTTTCATTCCACAACATTTAACTTGTCAGTAATCACTTGTTTAAAAAAAAAAATATTTTTCAACGCTGCATACATAGGCATATCATTCCTCTAGTCACGGGCTGCCGTATCTGATCCTTTTTGTTATAACTAGTATAGTTTTAATGGCAGTATAGGTCCTTGTGTAAGAGTTCGAAAATACCTAACATAACCAACGGATTTGCATTTTGGTAACTTTCGAAATATTGGCATAAAATTTTTTTTTTCCTTTTTATACTGTTTTTTCCATTGAAAAAGGTAAAGGCACTAAAGCGCCATACAGCCAAGGCTGAGAGTAATTTCTTTCTTGTATTCCATTACAAAAATTAAATGTCTTCGATAGTGCTTCTCACGAAATAATATAAAATTGGATAACATTCTTGATTTTTCAAGAGATCTGGTAAAGAAAGCGGGATGTTTTCAGAGGTTTTGTACAGTTCAAGAAGGTGATGATTTTTGATGATTGTTCTGGCGTAAGAAAAATGTGGGCAATCGAAAAATATATGATGCGAGGATTGGTTGGAGTAGTTACAATGAGCGTACGACGGGGAGGAGATCACGTGCATTCTATGCAGGTGTTCATTGAAACGTCCATCACCAAGACGTAATCTATTTTTTCCTTTGAAAAATGTCAATTATCCTGTTTTTGGTTAGCAATAAAACTTGGGATCGCTTATAGGAGGGTCTCTCTAGTTTGAAAACTATTCCATTAAATTAATTGAAATTTGGTATGGAAGTAGTGTGACCATACGGCTAGCATGCATTTGAATGTGCTGTTATTTTAGACTTGACTTTTAGGAGATATTTTATTTGGACGTAATTAAGCAAAAAGGGTCCATTCCACAAAATTATCAAAAAATGAGTTATATGTATTAAACGGTTCCTAAAGTCTAACCTCTTAGATCAGCAAAAAAATCCAACAAATAAACATAAATGAATACCTCTGGAGTTACATGAGATTATGAGTTTTGAAAATAAAACAAAACTAAGAAACACTTTTCAACTTCAAACTGCCATATCTCGAAAGTGACTGGATGTGCATTGGAATCGTTTTGTACGTTCATGTGTAAAATGTTAAATTTTCGAAAAAATCCTGACTGTGAAAACTCTGTAAATAAGTCACCCTGTATAATAATCATAACGTTATCTCTTTTATATTCGAATATTTTTTAATCATTGATAGAATTGTGGTATATAGAAAATAAAGGTACACTGCTGCGAACGAACGTATCGAACGCGCACGTTAACTAACCAAAGGTTGTATCACTGAGCTATTCCTGTAGTGTAGACGTCACAAGGACCAATGAACGATGTTACAAAAAATATTGCCTCAAGCTAATCTAGACACTGGGGTGCTTTCAAAATAGATGCTTATAGAAGCACTGCAGTGGCACCACTGTGGCACTGCTAACTTTCATACAATATTTGTCGTAACACGCGCGCTCCACTTTTGCTGTCACAATTAAGCGTGAAAAACGCAGTGAGCGGGTGCGGGACGGGCGCAGGTCAGGTTCCGCGCCCCGACGCCAGGCACCCGCCACGCACCCGACAGGCACCCGCCAGGCACCCGACAGGCGCCCAACTCGCACCCGCTTTCAGTGTGTTTCACGCTTCAGTGAACTAAAAGTTACTAAAGCGCTACAGACACGCGGCTAGTCACAAGAGGAACGATATTATGTATAAAATTTAATACATAAATAAAAATAATTAGCCACAGCGTACTTACCTTTAAAAAAAAATGTTATATAAGCACTGTACATAAGTCACTCGCGATTGTTTACATAAATTTACACACACCCTTTTTTACACCCACCATTGTTAATAAGAAATAGAAAAAGGTTTTTATAAAAAGTAAAAAATATAAAATATAAAAAGAAATAAAAAAAAGAAAATTAAGACAATAAGAAAAATTACATATAAGGTAATTTCTAAAATACTAACAACCTCTTAGGACTATATTACTAACGTCACGAGCAACAAGTTTTGTTCCATGGCTTTTTACAAATCATAAATATTACCGAAAATAAACTTTTATGTTTTCGTTATACTATCAGACACTTTTGTACTTGGTAGTACAAACTTCTTGGCGCAAGATAAAAAAATTAGGCAAGATAAAAAAATTTCAACGTCCACCACTACAAAAATCACAAAATTATATATAATGTAGTGTAAGTACAAATAGATAATTCAGTTGTTTTTTAAAACAATATTTTTTTTATAATACTAAGTGGCGGTAGTCAGTCTGCCCATAACAGTTGCAGTGTTACTCAGAGCTTTAAATCATAAAGATCTGGGGTCACCCTGAGACATAAGTTGACAAGTCTCATGTGCCTTTAATTTCACCAGCACCATTCACAACCGGAACACAGTAATGTGACCACTACTGCTTGGCAGTAGAAATAAGTAAGGTGGCAGTAAAGCAGCTAAAGCAACGCTCAATTGCTTCCAAGACTCCTACCTAGGACTTATTCTGAGCGCTAGGGACCACATTGGAAAACTATGGTATAGTATAAAAAATGTTTTTGTACAAAAATACATTTTAAATTATTAAAACTCATGGAATAAAAGTTGTTGTTTATAATGTTACTAATATATTCCTGAACGGGTTAGTATTTCACAATTAACCCTGTATACATTTTGTTATATTTTAATTGTTTAACATTATAGTGTCACATTATCAATGTATACTTATAGATTGCAACACCCTAACAGGTTCCATGTTTGTATGAGATACATCACTTTGTACTGTGAATGACGCATAAAAAACAAATAAATAATAATAATACATAATGGCATGTACCAGTTACTTAGTAACTTTATGTTATGTCA